AAGGAGGCCACCATCTAATACACTAACCATGAGTTTGGCCAGAGGACAGGGCCTCCCAGGGGCCAAAAAAAAAAAAAAAGGTTAGCATTTGACTGGGAAATGCTGAGCCTGGCTAATGATAAACTCACCTCCCTTCTTTTTTCTCTCTTGGCTGAATATTCAAACTCAAAGTCTTTAGCAACCATTTAATAGGTTTTAAATTTAACATTAAATTAAGGTTACCTTTTGATTAAGGTTACCTTTTGAATTTGGAAGGGAGAGGTGATGTCCCTGACTTCAACTTACAGTATGAGAAGAAAACACCGCTTGGCTGGTAGTTCAAACACCCTGTCCTAGCCCTCACTCTGCCCTAACTCACTGGGTGCCTGAGCCACTGTTCCTCTGGAGTGTGGTTTGACCATCTGTAATATTGGGGTGGGGGGCAAAGATCAATGAGCTCCCTTCCAGCCCAACAGTCTTTGAAGCCATGCTTGTACAGGGTGATTTAGGGAGATAGGCAGGTAGCAGGTGTGCACATGTTCTTCCAGAAAGGGAGAAAAGATGGGAAGACACACAACTAACTTTCATAAGATGATGGACACCGCAGCAAGCCAGGGGATTGTTTCAGTGCTGGAATGGGAGAGAAGCAGGGTAGGGACATCCGTGGACTGCTGCTTGGCCTGCCCCCCGAACCCCTTCCCCTGCTGCTTTTGGTAACAAAGCCTTAGTTTTCCTTTGGGAAACCACCCCTCCTCCACTCTCACCCAATCGGCTCCAGGTTTGGTGGACCAAAGCCATTTACCCTCCCTGGCTCCAATTCAGAGATGGCTTGTACTCCAAGCCAGACCAAGAAATAGCCCACTCCTGGATTTCATGCTAGAATTGGTGAAAATCAGGTATGCTCTCTCTCTTTCCCTCCCTCTAGGTAAGGTTGCTCAGTTGTTTGGATGTAAGCCTGGTATCTCTTTGCCACCAGCTCAAAGGGAGCCTACCCAAGACCAAGACTGAGGCCAACATCAAGAACACAGAAGCAAGACATGGAGCAGGTGGATCCCAGGGGATGCTCAATATGTGGATCCAACAGGATCTGAGGCCCCTGGATTTCTCAGTTATAGAACTTAATCTTGATTTTTTTTAGTTCTGTTTTATTTTGGATTTTTTTGGCTTAAGTCAATTTGAGTTGTGTTTCTGTCACTTACCACTAAGTCAGGAGCTAAGCTAAGTCAGGAAGTATGGCCTAGACTCTCAAATGTGGCCCTGAGTTGTGGCCAGGAGGAACCGTCATTGCTGTTTCCCCCAACAGGAATGTTAGCTGTCATCTGGGTCCTGCTCCTATACCAGACCACAAACACTCACTTGGAACACAAGTGCACCCTGGAAATGCAGCAAATCACAGGTCCTATAGGACCTTCTATCACGGAGGAACAGTACTGCCTCTCCTGGGCAATGCTCCTTGGAATGATGAGCTTCTTAGGGCAGCTACCACTCAATCAGAGCATCTGACTCCCTGGCTTTGGGTGGGAGCACAAGACCCCAGTTTTTCCCATTGTAGCATCCCATGCACTGGACTTAGCATTTGGTCCAGAAATGGTCACATGACCTAAAGCAGAGCAATCTGAAGCTTGTCCCAGGATTTTCTTTCTTTCTTTCTTTCTTTCTTTCTTTCTTTCTTTCTTTCTTTCTTTCTTTCTTTCTTTCTTTCTTTCTTCTTTCTTTCTTTCTTTCTCTTTCTTCCTTTTTCCCCCCAGGATTTTCTAACTTGAGTTGGCAGAGAAGAGTTTCCCTCATTCTGGGAGAACATTGCTGTAAGAATGAGCACCTGATGTTGCTGGGGGCCAGGGGAAGATCTGGTATGCAAGAGCGAAGCTAATGTCCTGGCATATGCAGAAGTATGGGGCTGGGGGCCATGAACCTGACAGCCCAGGGTCCAGCCTGCACTAACTGTACCTTGCCTTCCAGTATGCAAGGCAAGAAACAGCCCTCCCCCTCTCCTCCCTTTAAAGCAACTGTTAAATGGGTTTCTGTCACTTGCAACCAAGCAATCCTAAAGAATATTCTTTTCTTCAAAAACAAAGGAAAAACAAACATCTAAGGTCGGGGCCCCTTTGTCACCACTGTCTATCAAGGAAAGTGCTTTGATATCAAGGCACAGAACCTAATAAACAAGAGCTTTGGACCTGGGTTCCAATCTGGATCCCAGCACTCATTAGCTTTGTGGCTTTCTGCAAGTAACAACCACTCTGAACCTCAGTATCCTCCTCTGTGAAAAAGAGGATAATGATAGCATTTCCCTCATGGGTGGTTGTGGAGGCAAAGTGAGTGCCAAGCACATGGTTCTTGCTCCACACCTAGGAGCTGTTATTATTTCCTTCTCCCTGTGCTTTTCTTCTCTGCTCCATCAAGATCTCAGATCTAGAGGTGGACAAAATGGTTTATGGCGGCCCTGGAACTTGCTGCAAAGATGCTGTGTAGCTCTTGGCTCCAGAGGGTTGGGAAGCTATGGGCTCTGCTGGGGAGGTTTGGAGAAGGAAGAGTTCAGCACTGGTCTTGGGCCAAAGGGAAAGCTGCTCAGGACCACACAGTCATGGGAATGACGGCCCAGCCAGGAAGAGGAGCCCAACCCACAGCCGTGGCTCACAAAGTCAGACCTTCCCAGCAGGCACAGAGGGACTTCCCACATGCAGGCACAGAAGAACCACCATTTGTTCCTCAAAGAGCAGTGTCCAGGCGCTGGGCAGGGGTTTGTAGGGCTCAGGGTCAGTTAAGGAACACAAGGATGAGTAAGACCAAGGCCCTGCCCTCAAATGGCTAAATGCAAACACAGCTACAAGATGCGGAACTAAACAATGTGCTTCCTGCAGGCCCCCTTGGCCTCCATTCCCCACAGTGACCTCTCTCCTGCACTGTGGCAGCCTGGTGGCCCCAGGTCACCACATGGGTATGGGGCAGCCTCCTCTGGCCCTCTATTCCAAACATCCCAGCTACAGCCCATCCTACCCACTATTGACATGATTACCGTCCCAAAGCTCCAAACAGTCCTTCCCTGCTCAAAAAATCTTCAATAGCTTCCATTTCCTGGGGACAAAACCCAGGTGCCCCCTCCCGGCATTAGGGCCCTTCCAGGTACTGTCCCACCAAACTTCTGGATTGAGCCCTAGCCTGTGCCTTCCTGCAAATAATTCCCATGCCACCAAAAGGAACTTAGCCCTATACCTGAGACACACCTGTGCTTTCTCACCTGGGTGCTTATCCCATGAACTTCCTCCTCTCGCCTATCTGTGTATCCAAATCTCTCCTGTCCTGCACATCCTGCAGCCCCACGTCAAACACCGCCTCCTTGGGGAGTCATCCTCACTGCCCCTGGCTTAAGCCACGCCTCCCTGCATAGACTCCCCCAGCACTTTCTGTTGTGCCCACTGCACTTGATCTCCCCACTGCCTGGGGAGGTCAAACCACAGAGTGTTGTATGTTTGTCTCTAAAGGAATGAGAAGATGCCGGCTGCTGTCTCTCTGGCGAGCACAAGAAGTCATGCTGGAGCCGGTCTTCCCTGCGTCTCCCTGGAACCTTGGGTGGCCCCCTCTTGCAAATGCCAATGTGAAGGGAGCAGCCCTCCCCCACCCTACAGGGATGGTGTCAGGGGACCTTCAGAGGGGGCTGGCAGAGGCTGCCCCTCCATCCCCCCTCTACACAGAGCTGGTCTGAGAAACGTGATGGACAAGCTCATCCCAGGGCACAAGACCCCTGAGAGGACAGGTCCCCTCCTTCATTCATCCTAGGATTGACATTATTAGAATGACTTGGATAAAGTAGAAGTTTTCCCAAGAGTTGCTGGCACAGACACTGTGACGCCAAAAGGACCTCACCACAAGCTGGTGGCAGGGGAAGTGGAGCTGGAGATGTCTAGACTCATAATCCAGCTCAACATCAGCCCAGAAATGCGCAGCCAAGCCTATGGCTCAGGCTGGAAGCCTCTGGGGCCCAACACCCACCATGGGATGGGAAGGCTCTAGAAATAATGGCCAGAGTAATAAAGAACAGAAACCTCCTGAACCTACACGTGGGATCCAGCACAGCAGTCTCGTGGTGACAGTGGTCTAGGGTGTCCTCCAGGAGGCAGCATGAGTTCCTGTCCATGGTGCCATGGCCACAGTGGCAGGAAGTCTCTCTCTCTACTTGGCATCAGAAGTGGAGCTTATGTCTGGAGGGGGCTTCAGGTTCAGGGTCCTTAGACAGCTTGGGTCAGGGAGGAGGCAGAAGGGAGCCATGCCAGAGGCTCCTTCCTTAGGGAAGGAGGCACGTGGGTGCTCAGGCCACCAACCAGAGAAAGAAGAAATGCAGCTGCACTTCCACTCAGAACAGTGGACAGGCTGCACCATGGCAAACTCAGTGCAGGCTGCACGTTAAAGTCAGGGTAGGGGCCCCGCCACACGCAATAAGGCCTTGGGGTCGGCAGTTTCCCCCATAGCATTTGCACTGCAGGAGGCACATTAAAAACTGGTTGGTTACTGGAAGGAGAGAAGGACAGAGGGAGGGAGGGAGGGAGGGCCTGCAGGCCCAGAAGAGTCCAGAGGAGAGTCATAGCTTGCAGCTGGCCAGCTTCCTGCAGGGGTGGCCCGAGAGGCCCTGGAAGTAGAAGCAGCCTGAGAAGGCCACTTGGGACTAAGGTTCCCTGCAGCATGGTGGGGGCTAAGGCAAAAGCAGGTGCTGGCCCCCTGCCCCCCACTTCTTGTCCTCAGTCTCACGTGATTCTATCATCTGGGGGTTGACTTTTAAGGAAAAGAATACAGACATATCTTACTTGGCAAATTTTACAAAATACACTGAAAACAGCGGCAGAGGAAAACACTGTGGGCTCCACCCCGACTCAGCACCCCAAGGTTTGTTCTTCCCCAGCATCCAGGCCGTGGCTCCCCCAGCAGGAGTCCTCCTGGCCCACCTGTTTGCCCAGACACCCCCCACCCCAGCTGGAGGCGCCCAGTGACCCCGGCTACAGGCCTCATGGGCCAAGAGTCGAGCTGACCTGAAATGCGAAGACACCCTTGACCATCGCCTCCCCAAACACGAAGCTGGAACCGACATCCGTGTAGCTCAGGAAGATCTGAAAGCAAAACACAAAACAAAGTAAAAATCTGGAGGGAGACAAGGAAGCTGGGCCGGGTGAGCTGGGGGGACCTTGCTGGCCACAGGGCTGTCCAGCAGCCCGGGGGTCAGGGGAGAGGGACCGCAGGCCTCCAGGGCGTCGCAGGGCCTGGGTACCACCTGGCACTGCACTCTGTGAAAGCACACTCACGGGTGCTTGCTCCCCTGAGCATATGCTCCCCAAGAGATCTTTTTTCAGTCGCTTCGCTTCACGGGAACACTTGGGGATGGGACCTTGGGAACAGCCCTAAAGAGGCAGTGGAGGAGGAACTCCCAAGACAGACGCACCTGAGGGCTCTCCTAGGTGGTGGCTTGTGTGCCTGCCCACTTCCCTCTGACCAATGACCTATCCCGTCCCATCCCAGGCTGGTGGCCTCATGTCCCTGTGCGACCACCCTTTTGCCAGAGCTGATTTTAGGTCTTGAACTTGCATTGTGACTACAGGGACAAGTCAGTGCTCTTGTCCAGACTCTGTGTTCCCATCTATAAAATGACAGTCATGACCAGAGCAGCAACGCTGTCTTTTCCCCCACAACCCACATGCAAGTGCCCTTGGTGTGGGTTGGGGGTCAGGGGAGAGGGACCGTGGGCCTCCTGGGCATCATGGGCCTGGGTACCATCTGGCACTGCACTCTGTGAAAGCACACTCACAAGTGCTTGCTCCCCTGAGCATATGCTCCCCAAGAGATCTTTTTCTTGGGGCAGGAAGACGGCAGAGCCGTGGGCGTGACATGGGATTTCTCGGCTCCACCCTCAACTTCCCACCAGACAGCACATGGAAATTCCAGACAGTGAGACCGGGGTGAGTGGAGGACTAACCATGTGCCCTCGATAACTTCTATTTTAAGAAGTGACTCGTGACAGTTGCACAACAGTGTGAATGAACTTCATGACACTTAAAAATGGTGAATATAGTAAATTTTGTGCCATGTGTATTTACTACAATAAACAATGGAATAAAAAACATGACTTCAAGAAACTGAACATTATTTGTAAGCATGCATGTACACAAAGTAAATCATTTGTATTTTTTTCTAGCACTTTTAACTATTATAAGTCCTATGTAACTTGTGACTGCCTAGGGCCACATGCCTTGTACCCGGGTATCCCAAGAAGCTTTCTGTCCTGAAATTCCCTTCCACATCATAACAGCCTCTGAAAGGACAGCTCCATCTGGGTAGGTGGTCCCAGGTCTGAGGGACATAGCAGCCACACTGCTTGGCCCCCAGCTGCTTACCCGGTCTGGGACCCAGGGCACACCCACTGCTCTGGTCCCAATCCCCCTCTACGGCCTCACCTCTATGTTCTGGCAACTCAAGACACCCTGGGCAGCTGGATCCTATGCACACACCTGGATCTGGTTGCCCATCCACTGGAATGCAATAAATCCTGGTTCTGTTCTGATGACGAAGAGTCCAAGCACAAACTGTAGTCCAAGGCCCCAGGACACAGCCCTCCAGGACACCTGCCACCGAATAGAAAGGTGCTGGCAAGCTCAGCTCGTTAGGGGACCCACAGGAAACTGCATGGGGTAAGGGCAGAGATCATGGTGCTACTGAGGGGAGGTGGGAGGTTTGGCCCATCTGGAGGAATGAGACTGGACCCAGCCAGAACTCTGGGCCTGTTGCCAATGGTCACAGCCCCCTGGAGTCGTAATAGGACACACACTAGCAGGAACAGGACTGGGGCCGTGGGCAGTGGTGGTGTGAGGTCTAAGGACCCATGCAGGACACCAGCAGCCTCCAGCCTGCCATGGCACTGGGTCCTGGTCATCACTGGGAGGGCATTGTGGCCTCAGGCTCTGGCTTTAGTGTAACCTCCATCTGCCTGGCCCTTCCCCTGCCCACCTCTCTGGGCAGGGCTCCCGACTGCCCCAACCCCACTCCCTTGGTGCCCACATTCCCAACAGAGGGTCACTGATGCCTCTCAGGTGTGCATGAGGATCTCCAGGCTTGACTGGAGGCTGTGGGGAGATGTTAACCACACAGTGAAACAGGGAGGGACCCTGGCTTCAGGGGGTGGTGGCCCTGTCCAGGCCTGACAACTAAGTACTCACTGCATAGTGATGCTTCGAGCAGGCAAAGAGGAGACCGATGAACACGCAAATTCCTGCAAAGGACACTAGCTGCTCAGGTCGCTGGGACGTGTCCAGAATCAGCCACAGGATCAAGCCCAGGAAAGCAGCGAGGGCCAGACCCCTGAAGGAGAGAGACAGAAATCTACCACTCTCAGCATTTCCTCCACCTGCTTCCCACCCCCACAATAGCACCCAGGGCCCCAGGGAAAGGGTACTTGGGGCTGGTGGGAGGAGAGCCATGTGACCTCACACAGACTATGTAGGCTTTCTGAGTTTAGTGCCCCCATTTGGGAGAATGAAGACAAAGACCTGCATGTCTCCAGGCTGCCAAGAGGACTAAATGGGAGAATGTGCGTGCTCAGCTTTACACGGTGCCAAGAACACAGCTCCAGCAAGGGGCAGGAACTCCCACAGCTTTTGGTGATGCTCAGCCCAGCCTCTGACCTTGTCAGGGTGAGGTGGGGCCTGGGTGGCCCAGGACACAGCAGTTGGGACCGTGGGCTCTGAGTCCCAGAGCAATAATGTCACTCTAGGCAGGTGAGCCAAGCGCCTGAGATTGAGGCCTGGAAGAAAGCTTCGAGGCCATGCTTCCCTCTCTGAGGCTGGAATTGGCTTATCCAGGAGGTTTGGGCATTGGGTGCTCGAGGTCTACCCCCAACCTGGTCATCAACTCATCCGGAACAACTGATGACAGCTAATGTTCACTGAAAATCTATCTACTACATGCCAGGAACTACACTGGATGCTGAGAGACATATAGTCACTGCCCTCACTATAGAAGCAAAGAAACTGAGGCACAGTGAGTTTCAATGACTTGCCCATGGCCATCTATTTGAACAGTAGCAGATCTGAGATTTTAACCCAGGCACCCGGGCAGCAAGCATATCCTCTTAACTAGCTCCATGCATGTCCAGCAGCTGGTAAAAGGCAGATCCAGGACCAGAGCTCACGGCTGGAGTTCACCACTTACTTCGGCCCGTGTCTCCAAGCACCTAACACCCCTGGTCCACGGGCACAGTTTCCACCTTGTCTCTGTACCACTCGCCTTACTATTTCTCTTGACATTAACTCACTTTATAAACACTTAAGTGCAGGGACACCTAGCTGTCTTAGTCTGTAGAACCTGTAACTCTTAGTCTCAGGGTCAGGAGTTCAAGCCCCACACTGGGTGTGGAAACAACTTAAAACAAAATAAAAATAACAAGCAAGTACATGTTTTGGGCTGGGTTTTTGTTGTTGTCATTTGTTTTTAACAGCTTTGGAGAGGTACAATTGACATGTAACAAATAGAATATGTTGAAATATACAATTTACAAAATTGAAAAAAAAGAAGGGCATCTGGGTGGCTCAGTCGATTGATATTCAACTCTTGATTTTGGCTCAGATCATTATCTCAGGGTTGTGAAATTGAGCCCCATGTTGGGCTCTGCACTGGGCATGGAGACTGCTTAAGATTCTCTCTCTCTCTCTCCCTCTGCTCCTCAACACCCCGCTTGCACACATGTGTACTCTCTCTAAAAAAAAAAGCATATAATTTGATAAGTTTTGATGTATGTAGGCACCTTGAAACCATCACTACAATTAAGAATTGAACTTATCGGGCAGCCCTGGTGGCACAGCGGTTTAGCACCACCTGCAGCCCAGGGTGTGATCCTGGAGACCCAGGATTGAGTCCCACGTCGGGCTCCCTGCATGGAGCCTGCTTCTCCCTCTGCCTGTGTCTCTGCCTCTCTGTGTATCTCTCATGAATAAATAAATAAAATATTTTTTAAAAAAAGAATTGAACTTATCATATCCATGGCTCCTTGGTAATTCCTGGCCTCCCTCCTTGTCCCCAGGCAACAACTGACCTGCTCTCTGTCACTAGATTAGTTTGCATTTTCTAGAATTTTATATAAATGAGATCATACCATACATATCCTTTATCTGACTTCTTTCACTCAGCATAACTATTTTTGAGATTCCTCCATGTTTTTGCACATATCAGTAACTCAATTATTGCTGAACAGTATTCCCTTGCATGGATGCACCACAATTGGCTTATCTGTTTGCCTGCTGATGGACATTAAGGTTGTTTCCACTGATGACTATGACAGATAAAGCTGCTGTGAACATTGAAACATTCATGTGCAAGTTTTTGTGTGGCTACACACTTTCATTTTCCTTGGGTCAATACTACCTGGGTAATACCTGGGTAAGTGGAATGGGTGGTCATATGGTAGGTCTAACTTTTTAGGAGACTGCCAAACTGTTTTCCAAAGTGACTGTACAATTTTACACTCCCACCAGCGTTCCAGTTCCTCTACATCTTTGCCACACTTCATATGGTCAATCTTTCAAATTCTAGTAATCTAATAGACATGCAGTAGTATTTCTTTGTGGTTTGCATTTCCCTAATAACTAATGATGTTGAGCATCTTTTCATGTGCTTATTCACCACTTGCATTTCTTCTTTAATGAAATGTCTGTTCACATCTTGAGCCCATTCTTCAATTGGGTTGTTTTTCTTATTATTGAGTTTTGAGAGAGCTTAATATACTTTGGATACAAGCTCTTTGTCAAACGTGTGATTTGTAAAACTTTTCTCATAGCCATGCCTTGTTTTTTTTATTCTCTTAACCATGTCTTTTGAAGAGAAGTTCTTAAATCTGCTGAAATTCAATTTGTCCAATTTTTTAATGGATTTTGATTTTGGTTTTGCATCTAAGAAATTTACTTAACTCAAGGTCACAAAGATTTTCTCCTACATTTTCTTATAGACGTTTTATGGTTTTAGGCTTTCAATTTACATTTATGATCTATTTTCAGTTAATTTTCTATAGTGGAAAATTATGTATAATTTTATAATTATAAATTATAATTATACTATAATTATATGAGGCATGAATTATTATACTATTATTTTGTTTCTCTTCTTCCTTTTGACAATGAATATACCATTGTTTTAACATAATATGTTGAGATGATTATTTCTCCATTGAATGGCTTTAGCGCTCTTGTCAAAAGTCAATTGGAGATATATGTGTGTATGTGTTTTTATATATATATAAAAATTCTGGGCTCTCTATTCAATTCTATTTATCTATTTGTCTTTTTTAATGCTGATACCATATTGTCTTGATTACTATAGCTTCACAGTAAGTCTTAAAGACAGATAGTATAAATTAATCATTTGAATTTTAGAATCATCTCATCAGTTTATACACCAAAAGTCTGCTATAATTTTGACTGAGCTATTGTAAGAATCAATAGATTAATTTGAGGAGAATTGATATATTGACAATACTGAGGCTTTTTTTTTTTAATTTACGATAGTCATACAGAGAGAGAGAGAGGCAGAGACACAGGCAGAGGGAGAAGCAGGCTCCATGCACCGGGAGCCTGACGTGGGATTCGATCCCGGGTCTCCAGGATCACGCCCTGGGCCAAAGGCAGGCGCCAAACCGCTGCGCCACCCAGGGATCCCAATACTGAGGCTTTTGATCCAGGAAACTGATTATTGTCCCACTATTTAAGTTTTAATTTCTCTCAGCAGTGTTTTTGCAAGTTTCAATGTACAAGTTTGCATATCTTTTGTCAGATTTTACTTTAAGTATTTTATGTTTCATGCTATTCTAAATGGCATTTACAATTTTAACTTATTACTGCTTATTCTTAGTATACTTAAATATATTTTTTGCCTGTTGATCTTGTATCCTGCAGCTTGTTAAACCCACTTATCAGTTCTATTAGCTTTTGGGGGTAGATTCCATAGGATTTTCTATGTAGACAATCATGTTGTCTGTGAATAAAGACAATTTGACTTCTTCTTTTTCAACCTACATGTCTTTCATTTCTTTTTCTTACCTTATCACACAAGCTAGAACCTCTAGTACAGTGTTGAATAAAAGTGGCGAGAAGGGGTATTCTTATATTCTTGATCTCAGTGGAAAATTATTCAGTTTTTCACAGTTCAGTATGACGTTAGCTGTAGATTTTGCTGTTGTTATTCCTACTCTGCTCAGAATTCTTATCAGGAATAAATGCTGAATTATGTCAAATGCTTTCTCTGAAGTCTATTGGCATTGATCATATGTTTTCTTTTTAGTCTATTAATATGACCTATGACACTTTTTAAATATTAAACCAACTTTGGGTTCCTGGGATAAACCCCATTCACTCATATATTATCCCTTTTGTATACTATTTTTTTTATAAATTAATTTTTATTGGTGTTCAATTTACCAACATACAGAATAACACCCAGTGCTCATCCCGTCAAGTGTACCCCTCAGTGCCCGTCACCCATTCACCCCCACCCCCCACCCTCCTCCCCCTCCACCACCCCCAGTTCATTTCCCAGAGTTAGGAGTCTCTATGTTCTGTCTCCCTTTCTGATATTTCTCACACATTTCTTCTCCCTTCCCTTATATTCCCTTTCACTATTATTCATATTCCCCAAATGAATGAGAACATACACTGTCCTTCTCCGGTTACTGTGGCCAAGTTCAAAAAGGGTGTTGCCTGAGTTCTTCTCTGGGATTTTGATGGAATCTTGTCTCACATTTAGATCTTTCATCTATTTTGAGTTTATCTTTGTGTATGGTGCAAGAGAGTGGTCCAGTTTCATTCTTCTGCATGTGGATGTCCAATTTTCCCAGCACCATTTATTGAAGAGACTGTCTTTCTTCTAGTGGATCGTCTTTCCTCCTTTATCGTATATTAGTTGAGCATAAAGTTCAGGGTCCACTTCTGGGTTCTCTGTTCTGTTCCATTGATCTATATGTCTGTTTTTGTGCCAGTACCACACTGTCTTGATGAACACAGCTTTGTAGTACAACCTGAAATCTGGCATTGTGATGCCCCCAGATATGGTTTTCTTTTTTTAAAATTCCCCTGGCTGTTTGGGGTCTTTTCTGATTCCACACAAATCTTAAAATAATTTGTTCTAAGTCTCTGAAGAAAGTCCATGGTATTTTGATAGGGATTGCATTATACGTGTAAATTGCCCTGGGTAACATTGACATTTTCACAATATTAATTCTGCCAATCCATGAGCATGGAATATTTTTCCAACTCTTTGTGTCTTCCTCAATTTCTTTCAGAAGTGTTCTGTAGTTTTTAGGGTATATTTTGAGAACC